ACCAAACACTAGTGCACCCAACTATATAAAACAAATACTAATGGACATGAAAAACCATATAAGCACTAAGACAATAGTAATGGGGGACCTCAATACCCCACTGTCACAAATAGAACAACTAGACAAAAAACAAGCAACAAAATACTAGAAATCAATCAAACTCTTGAGCAAATGAACTTAACGTGTTTACAGAGTGTTCCACCCCACAAAATCAGAATACACATTCTTTATGGCTGCACATGGGTTGCTTTCCAAAATAGACCACATACTCGTTCATAGAACATATTTAGGTAAGTGCAAAGGAACTGAAGTTATCCCCTGTATATTATCAGAATATAGTGCAATAAAATTTGAGATCAATAGCAAAAGAAACCACAAGAATTTCAGAAACACAAGGAAATTGAACAACACACTTCTGAATAACCAATGGACCACAGATGAAATTAAAGAAGAAATCAGATAATTCCTACAATTAAATAACAATGACAATACAACATATTGGAACCTATGGGACATAATGAAAGCAGTCTTACGAGGGAAATTCATAGCAGTGAAGATGCATATTAGGAAAACAGAACAAGCCCAATTAAACAACCTGATGCTGAACTTCAAGCTTCTAGAAAAAGAAGATCAGGACAAACCCAAAGTTCATATAAGAGAGGAAATTATACAGATCAGAGCAGAAATCAACACAATGGAGACTAAGAGAACAATCCAAAAAATAAATGAAGCCAAGTGTTGGTTCTTCAAAAGAATAAAACAACTGACAAACCCTTAGCCAACTTTATCAGAAAAAGGAAAGAAATGGCCTAAATCTATTCAACCAGGAATTAAAAGGATGAAATTACAACACACCCAGCAGAAATCCAGAGGATCATCAATACCTACTTCCAGAAACTATATGCCAATAAGATGGCAAACACAGAAGAAATGGACACATTCCTAGATACATATGAATTACCAAAGTTGAATGAAGAAGACCTAAAAATTCTAAAGAACCCAATATCAATCAATGAAATTGAAAATGTAATTAAAACCTTACCAACTAAGAAAAGCCCAGGTCCTGATCACTTCACTGCTGAATTCTGTAAGACATTTAGAGAGGAACTACTGCACTACTGTTTAAAACTCTTCAATGAAATTGAAAGGGAAGCAATACTCCCAAATTCATTCCTGGAAGCAAGCATCACCTTCATCCCCAAAGCAGAGAAAG